CTTGAACCTGTGGCTATTGCAGTGTAACCCACAATAGGAGCTCAGTTGTTGCCAACTGAACTAGGGATGCCGATCCCAAATTATTTATAAAATGGAAATACTATGTAATACATGCATTAATTTTCTATTTTTAGTATAACTTGTACATATGACTTTTGGTCTAAATTTTATATACTGATATAGCCTTTAGATGAAATAATAATTCTTGAACGTGAATTAAGAGATTTCTTTATTTTACCAAATAAATAGGAATTAATAAATCAATTATGTTATGTATAAGAAGTAAGTTTAATTAATTTTTTTTATTTAATATAAAAATATTATTAAAAACTTCTATGATTTTTAGATTTTAACAAAACTACTAAACATATGTCAAAATCACAATATATTATACTTTTCTCTTCTATTTCTATTTATAATATATTACTTGGCTATTTAGAAAAAATTTTAGATACTAAAAGTAATTATTACTTGAAAATACATACTGCTATATTAAAATGTATGAAAACTTAAAAAATATTATATTAAAACAGTTAAGTCATATGGGGTCTTTGCAATAGAAAGAGAGGAAACTCCAAAAAAATTAAAATTTTAGTTTATAACCAAAAATGTTTCAAATACTATAATTTGTTCAAATTTATTATTAACTCATTTTTTATTTTTTTTTTGAGTTTTCTCCTTTTCTATTGCAAAGGCCCCATATGTTTATTCTATAGCAACACATAAGTAAATTTTTTATTTTTCTTAAAACTAAAATATATATAATATTTTAATTTTTATATTTATTTATTATTTAGTATTAGATCCTAAAATTAAATTATAATATTATCAAATATAAGAATAGGAACAAGAATATATAGATGCAGTATTAGAAGCTATTACAAATATTTATAATAAGAATTATAAATATAATTTACCAATTATTATCAATAATGAAGTTGATGATCCAAATGATTTTCTTGTTAATATTTTTGGAAAGAGTAATAAAATTAATAAAGATAAATTAGAAGATTATTTTCAAAAGCCTGTAATTCTATTTAAGACAGATCTATTACAATAGTGAAAGGTAATTATATTTTATTAATTATTAATTTAAGAAAGATTTATTAATTTATATTATATATATAGATATATAAAGAAACTTATCTACAACTTGTATCTATAGTATAGGATTTTTTATCTATATCAGGTAAATAAGAAATTTTTTAAAATATTTTTTAATTTTTTTATAAATTTAATTTTCGTTCAATATATAGGTATAAGTATACCTATTAAAAGAATATTTTCAGGTGGTATTGATTTAATTACAAAGAAACGATCTAGTTTAAATCAAGAAAGTATTAGGGCATATATGTGTCTTAAAAATTTTTAAAAGTATAATAATTTTATAATTTTTTTTTAGGAAAAATTTTCTTTTTTAGATCAGATCAGATTGGATCAGATAAACCTGACCTGATAAGTTGATCAATCAAATTGTATATATAACTAATATATTAAAATTTATTGTTTAAATGATATTTAAATTATATAAACTTAATTTTATAGTTTATATAGCATAAAATTTTAAAAATTAATATAGTAATGCAACTTTTAATTTTTTTATATGTAAAATTTATATGAAATTTTTTTTAATTTTTAAAAGCATCTCATTCGATATATTAATATATATATAAATTTTTTATTTAAATTTATCAAAAACTGATTCAAATAGCTTTATGTAAATTATAATTATTAGTTTTGCATTATTTTATTTAAAAAAATAAAAATAATTAAAAAATTAAAAAATAAAAAAATTAAAAAAAAATATAATATATTTTTTTTAATCAAATTAAGTTAAATTAAATCAGATCAGGTTAGGTCAAGTCAAATAAAAATTTAAATCAGGTCAAATTTTTATTTGACCTGATCTGATTCTCTTAGTTTAGGTAATTTAATTGACTTGATCTGAACTGACTTATTCGGAGCTTTAGTTTTTGATCATCAATATAAATTTTTTTATATTTTAAATTTTTAAGTTTATAATCAATTACTAAAATTATTCTTTTAAGAAAAAATATTATTAAAGATTAGATTAATGATTATAAAATTATTAATTTATATTTTGATCTTATTTATATATCTTAATTACAAATATATTATAAGTAAAATATGTAATTAGTTCAGAATAAAGTAAAGAACTATATATGTTTTAATCACTTTGATGTTTTGATATCCGCTTATCCATTAATTAAATCAATGCTAATTAACCTTTGCAATTACATAAAAGTTTAAATAAAACAAATATCAGTATAAATTTTTTTAATTAAAATCATTTTAGATTTAATAACAATTCATTTTTTAATTTTATTAAAATATATAATAGCATATACTATTATAAAATATTTAAATTTACGTATATTATGTTATTGCAGATTTATAGATACTTAGTCATATTATATATTTTTATAACATTTTCTTTTTTTATTTCATTTTTTTTTGTACTTATTATTTAATTAGTTAAGCTTATTTTTATTTATAAATTTTAGTAAAATATTACTTATAATAGATTATTGTATTTATATAAATTACTTTTAATTTTTAAAATATTTTTATCTTTATATTATTATATTTGATAAATACTGTATTTTATTAGAAGATTTAGAAAAAATATTTAGAAATATTAAGAATAAGTTTAAAGATTTTTTTGAGATTTTCTTATAAGTTTCTTTTGTAAAAAAATATAAGAAGATTGAATAGAAATATATAAAAATTTAAAAATAAAAATTTTAAATTATATTTACTTTTGTTTTTACTTTTTATTAACTATTTTAAACTTATTATTATAAGTTTTTTTATTTAATATTTATTATGATTTTTATCATTTTACTAAATACTTAAATATTTATATATTATTTATAAAGATTTTGAATTTTTAAATAAAATAATTTTTAAAATATTTAAATTTTAAAATAAGTTTGTTTATTATAAATATTAATAAATATGTAAAATTTTTATATTTACATAGTTTTATATTTTTAATAAATTTATAAAAATTTTTTAATATATAGAAACATTTATAATAAAAAAGAAAGCTTAAACAAAAACATTTTTGAGAAAATTAATATTTAATTTATAGAATTAATTTATTAAATTTTTTGAAACAATTTTTATAATTTATAATAAATTTTGCAATTATTTATTAAAATTATTATTTTCTTTAATTTTATTTTATAATAATATTTATAAATATATAATTTATATAATTTATATAATATAATAATTAATTCATTAAATTATAAAAAAATGTCTAAATTTAAAAAAAATTTACTAAGATATTATAAATGAAAAAAACTGATTTTCTGAAAGATTAAATCATTGAACATATAATTACTATAAAAAATTTTATAGTAATCAACAGTTTAAACCTTTTATTTTATTATCAATATTTCTATATACTAAATAGATAAAACATATTTAAATCTTTATATATCAAAAAAATTTATTTGATTATATTAGTTTTGAGAATTTTAATTAAATAATAATAAAATATTAAAATTTTAGATTATAATAAATTCATTATAAATTTTGTTTTTAATATCAAATATTTTTAAAAAAAATATTTAAAAATATATATTTTTTTATATTATTTTATAATACTTTTGCTTATATTATCACTTTAAAAATAAAAATAAAATTATGAGTAATTTATTTTGAATAGATCACTTTTTCCTTTTATTAAATAATGTTATATTTGAATTTTTAAAAGAAAATCTTTTAGAAATATAATTAAAATTAAATAAAATTATTAATTATTTATATATTAATAAAAAGATTGTTTAATAAAAAAATTAAAAGTTAAATCTTTTATAATAAAATTTATATTATAATTTATTAAATAATTTATTATATTATACATAGTATAAAAATTTTTAACATATCAATTTTATTGATAATCAGATTATAAAACAATAAAAATTTCTTTTAAAAATAAAAATCTAGATAATCAAATTATATAATTCAATTTTAAATATAAAATTAATATATATATATTTTTTAGAAAAAAACAATGTATAAATAAATTATACTTTATATTCTAGGTAATTTTATATTAATAGTAATAATAAATATAATTTTTTTTTACTAATTTTTTAATATTTATTATTTATTATAAAAATTATTAAAAAAAATTATTAATATATAATAATTTTTAATTTTAGTAAAATGTTCTTTTTTTAATTAATATTAATTTATAAAATATAAAACTTGATGTAATAATCAAATATTATTTATTAGTAATACAAGTTTTTATTTTTTAAGATATTTTGTACTTTATTTTAATAAACTTTTATTCTAAATTAAGAATTATTTTAGTTGGTTTAAAATACAAAAACTATTTTAAAGTTATTACAATTTAGATTATTTCTAAAAATTAAATTTACTTTAAAAATTAGTTTAACAGAATTTTTAATATTAAGAAAGAATAAATATGAAATATATTAATTATTTTAACAAGGTTAAAAATCATGATCTTTATGAGATTTTTTAAAAAAAGTAACGTATTTCTTCGAAAATAAGAATAACAAAGGAAAAGTTTAACAAAAAAAAGTAGATTACTTATCAAGCTAAGCAATTTTATAAATACTAATTGATTTTACCCTAAATTAGAAAAATTGGTAGAATTTTTTATTGAAAATAAATATTGAATTATTAATTCAAGTAGAAAGTTACCGGACCAATAATTTTTGTTTTTTTTTAATTGCATAAACTATTTTATTTAGCATAGCTAATAACTATAACAATTATTGAACGGGCTATATCGATATTTCTAGCCCCGTTAATAGTTCAAAAAAAAAACTCATGTTCCAAATACTTTATCAATTTCATGCGAATCAATAGTAACGGATTTTGTCTAAAGTAGCAATTTTCATAAAAAATTAATAATATTTCATAAAAAAATATCATTTTGCGTGTATGAATCTTACCTGATCATGAATTTTATAAATTCCCACTAAACGATCCGCTAATTCAAACATATTATCACGTAAACTAATAACGATAAATTGTGCATCCTTAGTACGTTCTTTAATAATGTTAGCAACGATTGATACATTGCGAAAATCCAAGGCCGCATCAATCTCATCCATAACATATAAGGGTGTAGGTTTGAAATGGTGTAGAGCGAATACCAAAGCCAAAGAACTAAGTGTCTGTATTTGACAAAATAAATATTCAGTACATATCTAGTATAATT